ATTGATCTGGGGATCGAGCTGATATTTGGGGAAGCTGGTTGCAGTAGCAGAGGTGATGCGCCTGAACTGATGTTCGATGTTGTTGTGTTGTGTTGTTGTGTCTGATGAGTCCTAGGGAGGAGTAGTGCTGCTGGTCTTGTGCTTGGGGCTGTTTGTGGGTGGTGGGTAAGTCTCAGAGGCTGCTGGGGTGAGTCGGTTCTGCTCGGCAGTGGATGTGCTCTTGGCTGGGGTGGTAGTCTTCTTTCTTCCGGTGAGCTTGTTCATGAACATCGTGCTTGGATGTTGTTGCTGTTGTTGTTGAGGATTATCCAAAATAAAAGGATCTTTCTGAGTAGGCTTTTACTGCTGGGAAAAGTGGGAAATATTATTTAATGGAGCTACGGATGGAGAAGAAACTCGAGTGACAGCTGCTCAACATCTACACGGCGGTTGCACGATTTAAGGTTTTGCTCGGCAAATCGCCGCGCGAGTCAAACAACCGGCAATCTGACCAGCAAGCCGTCAAATTGACGGCAAAATGACAGGCCCCCCACCGGCACTCGAGTTCAGGCAAGTTAACATAACTTGCCTGGGTCGATTTGCCGGAAAACATCCCTGACCATTCATCCACCGCCGGGCCCAACGGCAACTTGTCGTCAACCAGGTTTGACGGCCAGCACACCACAAATTCGGCGGCTTGCACTCGGGCAACAAGGACAGCCTCCCGAGGTGATTTTTTTAACTTTTGACGGCTATTTGCTCGGGCAACAATCGTGGCTTCCCAAACTTCCAAAGTGAATTTTTTTTAAGTCTCTCTTTTCCCAAGTCATTGTCATCTCACTTCGGAGAACTCAATACTCATCCACCTCCTGCCTGCCTCAACGACTGTACAGTGTGCCAGCCAGACAATTTTGTTTTCCTTCAATCCGACTTCAGCATCGATCGATCATATTGCCCTCAACGTCACCCAGCAGCTCAAGCGACTCTCAGGTCTCAACTCTACTGCAGGCTTCGGGACAACATGGCAAGACATTGGCACTGGACAACGTCATCGATTATCATCCAGGCGACTGACCCATCAGAGTGATTCAGTCATCCATTGCCCCCTCACCCAGTTCGGATGGTTCGCCGTCGAGATGGTCGAGATCCGTCTTATTAGAGATAGAGCGAGGACTGCTCTGTGGGAGTTGGTCGGGTTGGTGGATGTATTTTTTTGGTGATGGGATCGGCTGAGAGCCAGACTGCTGATTGGTAATCTCATTCTTCTCTGTATTTGTCTCGGTTGGTTGGTTTTTTTGGTCGTGATGTTAAGAGGATGGGGATGATGAGGATGATGCTGATGAGGAGGAGGCTGGATGATCAGTCAGTCTTTTTTCCCCCTTCCTTACCTTTAAAGAGCCGTAATCATTCAAGCCCTTACTATGATCCAGTTGACAAAACGAGGGAAAGTTTTATCTACGAGCCTATCCGAGTCGACTGTATCTAGACACCCGAATCCATCTCTCATCAGCCATTGACATCCCAAACAAATACCTTGTCGACCACCCACATCTCAATCAATCCTCACCCAACCCTTATCCGCCATCCCCACAACAACTTCAGATTGCTCAAGCTATCATCGCTGATTACAAACATTGGATCGACAAGATCAAGAAAATCTTGAAGAAGGGTGACTTGCCTCGCGAAAATGATGAGAGAGGTGATTGAACTCATTCCTCAAAATTTCAATCATCCAGAGAAACAAAAAAGAGAGAATTGATCTCAATCCTTTCTGCCCCACCTTTTCTTTGCAGACGGATTTGAGCATGATGTAGCCAACTGCACTTTCTTGATCTATGGAGGCTTGACCCCGTTATCAACGACGACGACGCAAACGGCAGATAGTTTAATGGAGTATGAGCGATCATTGGTGGAGCCCACAGGGGCATCACTGACCGTCCCTTTGCCCGGCCATCCAATCTTGCAGACCTTGATGGTCTCGCCCAACTGCGGCCTAGTCCTCGAATCCCGAGAGATGTCCGTCCTCCTCAGCCCCTCCTTTTGGTTCAAAACTAGGAACTACGGTTGGGTTGCTGGCCTTGTCTTGGGCCTTCAATGTTGGCTGCTTGTTTGGCAAATGGACAGTAGTCAGAGTCCTTCGGTAAGCCTCTTGACTACTCCTCTGGATCAGATTCGTATACATACTTTAAATCAAACTCATTTCGATACAACATTTTTTTTTGGGGGGGGGGGGCACACTAGAGTTTATCAAGGATGTCATACTTCTCATTAGTGGCCCAAATCATTATGGATGCCTGGACGTTTTCGAGTCATCTGACATTAGCAGTCGCAACGAACAACAGCTCGACGGAGACACTACTGGTGCCGGCATTCTTTGCCTGTCTGAATGCGATCCTGTTCGGGATGCGATACGACACCCTGATCCGGATCCACGAGCCCTCCCCCACCGTCAATCCCGCCAATCGCTTTCAGGCTCCAGTGGAAGACTCCCACATCGGCCGCAACACTGACTACGTACAGGTCCCTACAACCAACCTCGTCGACCCCCCTAATGTGGAACCCTCTCCCGCTCCAGCTCTCCCTCCACGTCAATCACGCTTTCGAAGCTTGTTCAACGCCCTCAAGAGTTTACTTGCACATCGTTCACTTGGTTGGTTTTCCCTCAGCCTTCTTTTTTGAGAATCCTCCTGACATGCGTTTCCTTATTCTGTAGTTTTGATTTCGATCGTAGCCATCTTTCTCCTGATCGTCCCATTCTTATTATACAGTTGGCAACCACTAGTGCTCTCGATCCTATTCTCTTATTCTCATGATCGATTTTGCTTGCTATATCTTCTCTGATCCTCCTTGTTATTCTCTATTATACTCTATACACGTACATAAAAAATCAAAAAGCAAAAAAAAAGGAAAGAAGAAAAAAAAGCAAAAAAAAGTAAAATGCAATGAAAACAACAAAAAAAATGGCCTGGTGCCCTGGAAAACCAAAGTAAGAGTGCCCTGTGAGGTACCCGAAGTTGCATCAGCAAAAACGAGTGGTAACCGAGCGAGGTGTGAGCATCCCAGCAGGCTCGATCGATCTGTCTCCAGGTGGAGTGGCAGATCGGTCGGCAATTTTGCCGGCAAAATGAGGTCAAATGGACCTGTCCACCGTCAAACCCGGGCTCGGGTTTGACGGCAATCTGCCGACAAGGGCGGTGGGACCGATGATTTGCCAACAGATTGTCTGAGGGCGCGTTGGCGGGAGTGCTGTCAATTCGGTCGTCAATTTTCCGGCTGACCGGAGGCCCGTTTTTTGCCGGTCAAAGCTGGCTGGGCGGGGTCCGTCAAATTGACGGCCGAATTTTCAGCGATTTGCCAGCGGCCCGCAACCGCCGTGTACAATCTGATTCAATCTCACCATCTCACACACCTCATAGCACTATGTGACATCTGATCAGGTCCACCAAAAACCTTGCCAGATGTCACAAGAACTTCCAACATACACACGTAGTGTGGCCAAACAGAAAAAAATCAACTCCCTTGAAAGACTTGCTCTTTTCTAAAACTGCTTCAATGATCAGATATTAGCTGACTAGGACTTCTGATTGGCTAAAAGTTGGTTAGTTTAGAAGGAAGGGCTACATGCAGAAGCTTATCTGCTGGTGAAAATCATTCAACCACAAGTTGAATTACTGGGTTAAGCCAAGTTATCCCAACCAATTGCCTGTTTTTGCACTCACATTGATGCAAGGTTAACAATGGGTTAGTCAACCAAAAGTATGATTACAGGTTTGTGGTTGCTGAATTTAGTGATTTTGCAGTCCCCCTTTGGTTTGTTAACCCAGACAGATGTGTTTGACACCAGTAGGCTAGCTAACCCAAACCTCTAGCCCAGGTTTGCTAACCTAAAACTTGATCAGACCAATGCAAATGCTCTTAGCCAGTCCCTCTGATTTAAACCATCTGGGCAGCAGGAAGCCCTCCATTGGATGAATTTCTGTCACAATCTATCACCCTCCCAGAAGTCAATTTTAAAACAAATGTTTTTCTTTTTTCCTGAAGCCTTCTAGAAATAATGGCTCTGATATGGGCTGGTTGCAATTTTCATTGTGGTGTTAATTTAGGAATGAGAAAGATCTAAAATGTAGCAAATTCTTCCTTTCCCTCATCACAAAAAAAAAAAAAATGAAAAGAATGAAGGAGGAGGTTATAGGGACAGATATGTGATTTCATTTAAAAAATTGTTTTTTCACAAGCTTTATGAATAGGGTTGACGGCGCGCCAATGTGTGGGCGCTGCGCACACGCGCCCTTGGCGCGCATGAAATCTGGAAAAGGGGGGGGGGGGGTGGCGCGCACTTCTAACCCTGACTTTTTCGGGGGGAGTCATCCATCAACTGCCCATGAAAGTTGTATTTTTTTGGGTTTCTTGTTGGTTGAACTTATTTTTTGGCCCCCAAGAGCCTAGTTTGACCCCCGAATAGTGTGAAGTGCCACATGGCACCCACTGATTGTGACTACCCAATAAAGCAAAGTCAGACTTTGCTGTGGTAAAAAAATGAGGTTGAAAAAAAAAATATAATTAAAAAATTAAAAAAACATGGAAAATAGATGATATGTACATGTTTTTTACTGCGGAAAATGGCGCCCCTGGCGCGCCTCCAATGTGTCAGCCAAAGGCGCGCATTGCTGGCAGTTTTGGAAGCGCCCTCCGGCGCCCACTTTTCCAAAAGTGGCGTGTCAACCCTACTTATGAAGATAGCTCTCATGTAAGCTGGTTAGAATTATGGTTGGGGTGTTAGTTCAGTACTGGGGAGGCCTTAAAAAACACTCTCAATGGTGACGTGAATTCCTCCAATAAGATGAGTGAAACAGAAGTGAAAATAAGTGAAATTAAGAGTTTACTATTAAACCCAGCACCCTCCGCTCAATAACCCCCAATGTGGGACCACTCCCATCCTTCTATCACATCTCAGGCTCACACCTGGACCGATGGCTTAATGGCAATAGAGCCAAGCAAAAGCCAACTGATGGCGCACAACTCCACCCCTGAGACCCTCTCCTTTTATACCCTACACCTCTCCTCCCCCACCCTCCCCACTTCCCTCTTCCAGTTCCCCCATCCTCCCTGCTTCCCTCTTCTGGTCTACAATTCAACAAACCTAACCCCAATGCTTGACCATTTTCATATTTTTAAGTTTAACCCTCTTCCCCCTGAATTCCCTGTTCCAGCCAATTGTTTTAAGTGGAGTTCATTTTAAGCCGATGACTTGTTATGGCACTTTAAAGTCATACTGGAACTGAATTTACAATGCCCAATCCAAGTTATTTTCGGAAGGATATTTTTCATAAGTGTTGTTGTGATGGCTAAATAATGCTCGTCTTGGTTCAAGGTTGAATTTAAAACTCGGAGTGGTCCATGAGTAGTTTCTTTGACAACGAGAAGGGATCTGCTATCCATATAAAATACTAAGGCTGATGACAAATTCAAGTTCATGGCCTAGGCGTAGGCCAATGACTTTTTCAATCAAGTGGGGTTGAGAGATGGTCTATGCCCTAGATTTGTTCAAAAATGAGTTGTGTTATGGATTAGGAAAAAAAAATTATGCTTTACAGAAAATTAAATGTCAACAGCTTATCGATGTCGAGGTGTTATTAATATGACCCAAAATAAGGGGAGTTTGAATTACAGCAGTAGTGAACAAGGACTTGAATAAATGGAGGTGCAGTTGGTGTAGCAAAACAATAACTTGACTAGTTAAGGGGTAATTGGGTTTTGCTTGCAAGCTGACAATTATATCCACTAGTCATGTAGCAAGAGAGAAAGAAAATTTGGCAAATAGTGAAATTTTATACATGATGCATGAATTATAGGAGTACCTTGTGAATGTGATGGAAACAAGGGCTGATATACATTTTTGGTGAGGATTTTGAATGTTTGGCCAGATCCATACATTTTGTTTAGACACATACATGGGGGGATGTCTGGGGCTTTTCTCCACTGGAACCATGGTTGACCGTCAGCTATCAGCTGGCAGCAGCCGTTGAACGATGAATTCTATAGATTGTCAGAAGACTGGTCAACTCCGGTCTCCCTGAAAATGAGATATCTGGGTACACAGGTGCTTATGTCCTAGCGGTGTACACAGCGACCTACTCGCTAAGGCAGCAACTCCAAGCTCCGGCTACGAGTCGGCCTATGTGGACTCTGGAGCGGCTGGGCCCATGTGCACTCGATCCGAGGCTGAGACTTGAACGAGTATGTGCCCCAGACAAGTTGCCGCTAAATGTTCGTACGCATCGGAATGTCTCTTCTTGAAAACAACCGCCGGCCTGTTGTGCACACACGACCTAGGTTTTAATTATCAGATAGTCGGAATCGGTTAAACAATTTTCAAATTCGGGCAAACCAAGACGTGTTATCTGCCATTTGTGTTTATCACACTCTTACTTATTTAGGATCCTTTGCCCACGATAGGCCATGTCCTCCCCGCCAGCAGCTCCAAATCTTCTCTCACATAACAGTTCAGAATATATACTAACATGAATGAAGCAGAAAAGAAGGAACACTATGAAAGGGTCAGTGATGTGTGGCTTTTTTATACGTTAACCATTTTGTATATTGCCATCGATCAAGCCACTGCTGGCCATATTTCAGTGGCTACCTGATGGGATGGACGTTGATCAACTTGTGCGAAGAAGACGAGTGAGAGCTGAAAGCAATACGATTTTTACCCTATGAACGTTTTGCAGGTTTTCGAGTCTCTCCATCCACTGCAGCAGCAATTTCTTACCTGCCACGCGGCCGATGTCATCAGTTCAACAAAATCGCGACCCAAACCGCCTTACATTAATCTAGACTATTTCCCGTTTTTTTCGCTGTTTATCTCCTTGATTCGTCTCTTGAATCATGCCATCCTATCAACATTGTCCAATCCATTAGCGCCCATCACCGATTTCACCAACTATTTCTATTCGCTCGTGTGCTACACCTGCATCTATCTCGTACTATACATTTTCCAGGGATTCCTTGTGTTTTGTTGAGTCAAGCGTCGCACTTATTTCTCAT